TTTTCAGTTCACCTATCACTAGTTATGATATCACTGAATGGGCATCTATTGTAAGGGACTTTACCAGTAGTCTGTATTTCGGTATTTAAACAGTATGATTTCATAAATAGAACTGTTTTTTATTATTGTTGTTGTTGTTATTGTTCTCGTTTTCCTTTTTTATCTGTAGTTTTCCTTTTCATCTGGTCCAAAAACAGATCCCCACACTTAGAAAAGTCCTCTCTCAAAAGTGTGAGTTACTAGGTCCACAATGGATTTGTTCTTGTGTTAGAAATGAAAACATAAAAGCCAAACGGCTGGGTTTTTTTTTTTGTTTTTTGTTTTTTCCATCCAAAGCAATGCCGGTGTTGGACCTGCAGTAGCAAAGCAGTTCGCGGCGCGGAGTTAGCAGCTAGGAAGGGTCTGCTGGAAGAGGAGGTGGAGCAGGAAAACTGATTTTTCCCACTGCTCTTGGGGAGTGGAGGAAAAGAGAAAGAAACTCGCAACCTTCTGCTCATTGTAACACAAAAACCCATCAGCAGAGCCTTTTTGCCACCATCCAGATAGCACCTGCGGCAGCTAGCTGGAGCACCAGCTCATGTTCAGTCTGGCGTGCAGCCTCCTCTCTCAATTGCAGATACTCCCAGTTCCTCATTTCTGTTGCGCTGTTAGACAACTCAAGTAGATCTGCAGACAGATGGACATTTCCATTCGCTAGGCCCTTTACCGGTCTCCGCTCAAGTCTGCTTTTCTTTGCTAAGGAGCCTTACAGTTTTGGTGAGGTCGTGCTTGTCACGTTTGGGTTCAAAGCGCCTACCTGCTGCTACCAACGGCAAAGCTCCACCAGAGGACTTTAACATTTTGAATAACCGATTCTTAGCTTCTGCGTCTTGTGGTTACTGCAGGATCACAGGCAGAGGCATAGTGTATATAAAGTGTTAAATAAGCTGTGTATTGAATGGAGTGGACAAGTTAGCTAAGCAGTTCAAGTACACTTGGAAGAAAGATGACCCTGACATCATATCCAGGAGATTCAATGCAAGTTGCTCACGTTCAGTTAAAAAAAAATAAATCTGTGCTTAAGTAGAATATTATGTGAAGTCTTCCACCCACCCACTCACCCACCCAGCCACAAAAGTGGGTCATCATTGGGGACATCATTGCTTCTATTTCTAGGCTGCAAATTACGCCTATAGGTTTTGCAGACCTAGCTGGGATGAGGATTGAGAAAGTTCAGGCACTTCTCATCTGCAAAGAAAGAGCGAGCCTACCTGCTGGGGAGCCCAAACTGCCTATTCTAAATTGGCCATGCTGGGTTCCTGGAGAGCTTGGTGTGGTCTCCAGTGGCTGCCCTGGCCTTGCTTCCTTCAGGATCACCATCCAAAGCCCTGTGGTTAGATTTCATGTGTAGTTGTGTATTTGCATGAGCAAAGGTTGGGAATTGTCAGAGCCTAATAGCAATTTTTTTTCTTTTACTCAAGACAAGCTGAAGAAGAACTAAACTCATTGGGTTGAGTCCCTACCGTAGCTAGCGCCAAACAAGCCTTACTCAAGAAATAGGGATGCCTAAGAATGGCACTAACTGTTGCAAAAGAGGCCTCCTAATCTGCATGCTTTGATCACCAAAAAAAAAAAAACCAACAAAAAAAAATTGATATCAATGGTCAATATAAGTTGACTGGAAAATTTGCTCAAGGAAGACGCCCAACATAACCAATGCTAGGTCTAGCTAGGCATTGCTATGTTCACTCCTGCCCCACCACCGGGTCATTACTCTTGCCATCCATTCCCAAAATAAAACTATTCACAGGCAATGGTTCCCTGCTTTAAAAAAAAAAAAAAAAGGCAAAACAAAACACTTACTTTCTGAACGTGTTTTTTTCCTATTAAAAAATGAACGGGGTGGGGGGGAAGTCAACTTTTTGTGTTTTTTGCAATTGTCACTACAAATTGGCTATTTAAATTAAGTCCTAAAACAAGAGCTGAAAAAGCTCCAGGCATGCTCTGAATAAGCCAAAAAAAAAAAAAAAGTCAAAATATATTTGAATAAGAAAAAAAAAGGAAAAGTCAAAATTTTGCAGATTGAAAAACATGAAGAAAAAAACCTCCCCCCCCCCCAAAAAAAAAAAAAGTGAAAAATTTTGTGACAGGTTTTGCATTTGGAAAAGCTGCTGACCTTCCTGGTATCACTAGGCTATTGCCTCGCAATACAGCCATGTGCTCTTGGCACTGCTCCTCTGTCATCATTTGAAATAATCAGAAAAACCTGTCCGAAGTAAAGTAGTTGCAACAAGCTTTACAAAGCCCCAAGGATTAAAAGTGAAGCGGATTGGAGGCAGTTTTCAAAAAAAAAAGCGAGTGTGCAGTGCTTCCCCAGGCTGGCCTGGCTCCGCAGGCACTGCGGTGCTGGGCAGTGCCGCCGGCTTTGCCCTACGCAGCCCAGGCAAAGCTGGTGCTGGACTTGAGAAAGCAGAAGGAAAAGTGGGGGAAAAATGCCAAAAAAAAAAAAAAAAAAAGAAGAAGAAAAGAAAAAAAAAATGCAATAAAGCTAAAGGGCAGCATGTGTGTATGTGGGAGAAGGCTTCACGCCTGTAGCATAGTACATGTTAGCATGATACATATTGTTTCTAAAGCTCTTGCATCTGCTTCTGCAGTTGAGATGTTGAAAATATTTTTTTTTTTAATTCACAATATAAAGGAAAAAAATGAGAACAGTGGCAAAATTGTGTTGAGAGAGTTAAAAAAAACAAAAACCCCCGAGGGGGGGGGCAAGTAGAGTGCATTTGCCATCCGCTCCTGGGCTGGAAGCCCGCAACGGTCTCTCGGCATTGCAGCATCCCAGGACTGTTCTGAAACGCTCCGTGTTCGATAGGATGTTGTTTTTCTCCAGTGTGCTGTTGTGATTTTTTTACCTGATCGGTTTCCAGGGACTTCACATTATAAGAGGTGGTCCATCTTGTTTGATGTATTTGCCTAAAAAAACAGTGGTGGTTTTTTTTTTTTTTAATTTAAATTCCTAGCAACTGTGACGACAGTAATGTGATGAGTAGCACATGAAACAAGGAGAGTCCTCCAGTGACGGTCTCCTTAAAACCGTCAGCTGAACTTTTTTTAAAAAAAAAAAACTTACAAATTTTTTTAAAACATTTTAAAACTCTTTGTGTGTGTGTGTGTTCCAAGAAGGACTATTTGTATTTGAAAAAGATCCTGGAGTGTAATTTAATCCTAAAACCCTAGCCTTTGTGGATATGGTAAATGTTAGTATTTTGCAGTTTCTGTTTTGCTTTTTAGATAAATAAAATGTATATGGATATTTTTAAGTCATCTTTGCTTTTTTAGATGAGTTTGTAATCACCTTATAACAGAAAATAAAACTTTCCTTTATAAACCAGACAGGCTCACAGATGCTTCTGTCAGATTGAGTCACTCGACTTGAACTTTAGACTTACGTAGTGCGGTTTTTCTTTTTTTCCCCCCCACAAAATTTGCCACACATACACACATACACGCACACGTGCATTTCTGTGTGTGGTTTATTTCTATATATATGCGTGCATTTACACACACACACACACACACACACACACACGCTCCCCCCCCACACACACATCTTGGAGCACATTCCTGAATGACCTTATCAAGCCTCTTAGGTTTACACTTGCCCCCCCATAGTTACAACAGGTATTTTTTAAACCTAATGCTCAAGGCCCTGCGCTTTTCAGGTTCGTCGGCAGGCTTCAATACGTTCCCTGGATATTTAGTCGGATTTAACCACGAATTTGGGAGCAGAGGAGGAGGGACCAAGGCTTCATTTCAGGCTCACCCAGCCCATGGTGGTCCTTACTCCTTCGCTGGTGCTGCTTTTTTCCCCCCTTTAGCAGCACCCTTTGGCCACGTCCCCCTTCTTAAAAGGCAGCAAGAAGGTAGGGAAAAGGCGGGCGTTAGCGGTCCCCCCTCGACCGTCCCAGGGCACTGCACTGCCCCGCGTGCTCCGTGGGTCCAAATGCATCGCAACAGCCCAACGGGGTGGGGGGGGAAGCTAGCCGTTTATGGCCATGAGCATTTGAGGCTAGCCGATGGCTTTTTCGGTTAGGCGGATGCAAATTAAGCCAGCGAGGCCATGCTGGGGCCTCCAATTTCTCTAATTGAAGGAAGACGAGCACGCTTAGGTGGCTGTTATTTTTGAAACGCCCTGGCGCCGAGGCTTAGCCCCACTGCCTGCTGCGCTGGGGGCTGTCGGGCGCAGCGGTCATGGGCGGAGGGCCCCGACCCGGCCATCGCCCCTTCCCCGGCCCCCCAAATTCCTGGATTTGGCCTTTGTGG